GGTGACTGTATCCACCAAAATTGATAGCATCGAACTCTCGCCGGCGATTTTCTCCTCTTCGTTCGATTTCTTGATTTTCTGGTGTGGTGGCCATAATCTCCGTCAATTTTTGGCCAGATGATTAGAAACGGAAGCTTGGTGATAATTTCTATGGCTATCCGAGCAAGATTACTCCTGCTCTGATACCATCTTGAATTTGAGATTGTGAATCGAAGGATGTAGCTCGAGATCTAGGGTTTGTCAATTTGGGATGAAGAACAACTTCTTTCTGGAAAAATGTATTTTCTGTTAAATTGAAATTTACATCATATGTACAATTATATATATACTATGTCCAGCTAATTAACTAACAAAGTATTTCAGCCGGATTATGTACAAGTATATTGGTATTTACAACTAAGTCCCTATTTACAACTAAGTCCCTATGATATAGAAACTGTACAATTTTATACTTCTGAAAATTCCTTCAAGGCGGCTTATGACCAAATTGCTGTGATAAATCATCCTGAGCTTCATTGTCTACAAGATCGAATAGTGAATGAGCAGGAAATTAAGTCAAGGAAATTATGAATCGACAAGATTCCAAAATCAACCAGTAAATAAAAGAAGCTGCGAATCAACAGTTCAGTATAATAATTCAATTTATCATGAGAGATCAACACATTGTAACGATGCGGTAATGGAAACCTTTCTATGAGCAAACTAGAGAGACGTGGGTAAATTGTCGTAACAGTAGCAGACGGACGATCAAGTATAAGGAGGATGGAGATTCAAAGCGTATACCTGAAAATTGAACGGCGGCGACTAAAATTAAGCTGAAGATTAATCGGAATGGTCGTCGGTGGATATCCAGAATAATTTCACACACAGTCACACACTAGAGATTTTGGGGATTTTGTATCGGTGAATGGTATATATGACGATTTCTGCATGCAAAAGGGTGGAGAAGTGACAGACACAGTGGCAAATTTAGAGTTTGCACGAAAAAGCGAGGGTCTGTCTAATCGGGGAAATAAAAAACGGCAGCAGTTTTCCCTCCAAGAGTTGTGTGTGGGGTTTTTTTAATAAATTAATGTACAAGGAAAATGATACAGTATTGTAGTGTAAAATGAAAAATCATATAGTGAAGTGAAATTAGACTATTTGGCATTTTGTCCTTAAATTTTTATCTTTCCTCTAAAGTTACATTTTTATCCATAATTATTATATACACATCAGTCACTGTGCTGTATATTTTTCATTGCTTATATTATTATTGCTCCGTCTGTGGTTCCGTCTCAAGAAAACTAGCCCAATTTGTTAAACTAAAAACAAAGTGCATTTTCTTTTTTTTTTTTAAAAAAAAAAAACTATAAGCATATACTCTGTATATTATGCTCCCTCCAGTCCTTAACATAAGAACCAAACTTATACTAATTTAGTGTTAGTAAATTTTCCACCTTCCTTTCTTTTAATTTAGATTGGAAGCATAGTGGTTAGAATATGAAAATTTGACTACTGTTTGAATTGTTTTGACATCACTTGATGGGATTTAATGCTCTATAAACCTCTTCAGAAACAATTTCATTCAGTCATGCTTGTATCTTTGGTTGCACTTTGGTGGATCTAAATTCCTGTCTATTGCTTTTGTTATCTCAGGAGATCATTCTTGATGTTATCACAATTTTCCGGCCGGGTGCAGAATTGGCCTACAACAATGACATAATTGCTATATAATGTTAGGATAAAATTTTATCCCATTGTTGGAGGGAGTTTAATTTTGTCAGGAATATAAAATATTTGACACGGTGAATCTGACAAAAAGGTGGGGCAATGGGTGGGGCCATCACATGCCCAGCCCCCAATTCCATTTTTTTTCCTTTTTTTCATTGTTATTTATTCCTTTTTTTTTTGTAGTGACCGCTACTTGCCTTCTTTTTTTTCTTTTTCTTTTATCATTTTGACAATGGATCAATAATTTTTATCTCATACTATACAGTAATAATTAGTCTTTTTTTATTTTCTTATATGATGTTTAGTCAATGATAATTAATTTTTTATCATTCATAAATGTTTTCGTATATTATTTTAATAATGATTTTTACATATATTTTTTAAATAATAAAATTTTATATAAATATAATTATTTTAAAAAATAATAAAGTATTAATAGTGAAATAGTTGTAGGGTAATAATAGTTGAGTAGTTGTGGGTCCCAAATTATATGAATAAGGAGTGTAAAATTGTTGGAGAAAAAAGTATAAAAAGTGATAGTGTAGTGGAATGCTGACGTGTCAATGATGTGTTGTATAATGTTATATGGGTTATTGTGGTTGCCCTAACATTAGAATATCCAGGACCAGATGAACGTTTGAGAGATCTTATCATAGTGTAGACTTCCTTCATGTAACATATGGAACAATGAATTTATGAATTCGTGATTAGACTAGTTCGATCGGTTTACTTTTGTTAAGTTTGGAATACCGTTTCAAGTTGCTTTCGTCAGACAGCAATGATAGGTTTGAGCTGAATAACCTGACACTGAAACTATAAATCTGCCATTGCTCTAGAATTAGGGGGAAAATTGAGGTGACTTCATCCTCCTCCTTTACTGAAATGTTCATAATACTCTCATCAATCTTCGCATTTACCTGAGATTTCCTCCTTGGTCTCTGCTCGTAATGCTTCAAAAATTCATCCTTTTCCCAAGTGATAGAAGAACACTAGTGTGAAAATATATTTTCAAGGTTTTTTTTTTCCAATTAAGAATGTATATTAGATTTGATCTAGGACAAATCAAAATGAGTTATAATAAGTAACAGAGAAAGTATTTTAGAGTCAAAGGTTTACTTCTTCTTTTTTTTTAAGGTCAGGATCGAATTCTTTGAATTTTCATTGGGTAAAAATACAATAAAATTTATTAAATATTGTAAAAAAAGCACAATATTAATACGAAAAATAAAATTTAATAATAAAAATTATCTACAATGGAAATATGATTATATGGTACTGCATATATTAACATAAATTATAAAATCTGAAGAAAATAATTAAGATGTGAGGTCTCAGAAACTTGGTACTGTCAACAATGGACGACACCTCAATAATAGAACATAAATTCAGCCTACTGATTTTTGTCAGAATTCCAAGATTGGCAGCTCCGGTTAGAGACAAAATGCAGGAATAGTTTACTATTTGTTTGGCAATTACAAGGGAAATTTATAGAGAAAATTTACAAGGAAAACTTACAAAGAATGAGTTATCACATCTAAACTATGTCCTAACCTTAAATACTTAAACCCCAGATGAAAAGTTTTAAAAATGATTAATTATGATCAATTCGTTGTTATTTTTCCTTGTCATTATTTCCCTGTACGAATCATAATCCTTATACAAATATATCTATTAATTGTCATATTATTAGATGCTTGTTTGGACGTCCACTCATTTTGCATTTTCAACTCACTTTGTCTCTTAAATACAAAACCCGATACGAACCAAACTAACGTCCAAACAATTTTCTGATTTACATTTTAAAATCAAACTTGAAACATTTTATTAGTGCAGTAACCATTTTTGAGCTAAAAATAGTTACGTGACTAAATCCAAAACTTTGCACATTTATTTCAGTTTGCCTCTAGTAAACAAACCAAGGCCCAATCGGATGGTGGGTAGGAAAAAGTTTTTTTGGAATATGTATTGCAATATCAAGTATGAAAAATATCACTAAATAATAAAAAAGTGTCAATTTTAGTCACTATAAAAAAAATTCAAAAATGATCACTAAACAACGGAAAAGTGTCGATTTTGGTCACTGTAAAATATTAATTTTAGAAGTTATTCCGTGATTTTAGTGATCATTTAATAGTGACCAAAATCGACACTTTTTCGTTATTTAGTGATCATTTTTGAAATTCTTTTTTTACAGTGACTAAAATTGACACTTTTTGATTATTTATTGATATTTTTCGTACTTGATATTTCAATATATATTCCAAAAAACTTTTTTCCAACCACCATCTAAACAACTTTTTGCTAAAACACCATCCAAACAATTTTTTCATTTCCCATTACGTTTTCCACTCAAAACACTTTTCATAAGTAAAAAATGAAAACTACGTGTACGTCCATAAAGTACTAGATTTCTTACTTATCCAAGGACCCCAATCCCGAGATGAGATTTTCTAATTAATTTGTTCCTTCCTTTTTTTTCCTCTCTTCTTCTTATTCATCCAAAACCCAAATTCCCCCAAATAAAAGTTTCTTCCTAGGATCTGAATTTGTGCTTGTGCTCAATTATTTCTCATAATTAGGCTCTTAAATTTGAGTTGCAATTTCTTTTTAATTTTTATGCATTTATGATGTTTCATTGATGAAAACATGTAATGATACTGTTCCATACTAAATTTTTGTTTTCTTCAGTTTCAAAAAAACTAATGAAATTTTGATTCAAGATGGGATGAACCCATCAACACTATTATTTGTATGCGTTTAAGGTTTATAAACCCGAAACTTTTATTACTACTCTTTCCGTTCCAAAATTATAGTCCAGTTTGGATTTTTAGTTTTAGTTTAAATTGTACTAAAAATAAAAACTCAGACTGAACAATAATTTTGATACTAAAAATGAAAATTCAAACTCAATAATAATTTTGGGACGGTAGAAATACTAACTAGTGCGGGTCTACCCGAAATAATTTGAAGTTTCATTCCATTTTCTCCAATTTGGTTAATTTCCAACCCTGAAAAACAAAACTGTTGTAGTGTTGTTGACCATTTGACATATATTCCCACATTTTCTGGCAAAGATGCAATAAAACTGACACACACACACACACACTTAAAAAAAACAAAACAAAAGGAAAAAAAAAACACGCACACACACAGACAGACGGACAGACCCAAATCACATTAACACTGTGCGGGACTGGCCACTCTTTAAACAGGGCAACAGCAGAAAACAGAACCTGAAACAACAATCCGACATCATCTCCAGCAAAATCTCCACACCTCGTAGAAGGAAAAAAGAGGGATTGGATTTCGAATCCCTTTTATTTATTTATTTATATATGTAAAAAAAGAATTCAAACCCGGATCAGAGAATGTCATCGGCGCCTTTCTCATCAATGTCGTCATCTTCATCGGCGGCATCAAAGCAGCAAGCTCTGTTCATAACGACCCTCATCATCTTTTGGTATTCTAGCAACATAGGAGTGATTCTTCTCAACAAATATTTGCTCTCCAATTATGGATTCGCCTTCCCGATTTTCCTCACAATGTGCCATATGAGTGCCTGTGCAATCCTCAGTTATGTTTCCATTGTTTTCTTAAAGATTGTGCCTTTACAGAGGATCAAATCCATGTCCCAATTCCTCAGGATTGCGACCCTTAGCGTCGTGTTCTGTGCCTCTGTGGTGGGCGGCAACATTTCCCTCAAGTATCTGCCTGTGTCGTTCAATCAGGCAGTGGGTGCTACGACGCCGTTTTTCACCGCTATGTTTGCTTATCTCATGACCCTCAAGAGGGAAGCTTGGATGACCTATCTTTGTCTTGTCCCTGTGGTCGGTGGAGTCGTCATTGCAAGTGGGGTATGTTAATTTTTGCTTTTTTTCGCTTTCTCTTTTGGGTTTTAAGTGTTTCTGTTTTGGTGGATCCATGTTTGAAGGATTCAATTTCTTTGGTCTTTTTCCTTTGGATGGTCTGAATCAGCTGCAGTTTTATTTTGTGGAAGCATTTTGATAATTGGGGGATCTGGTTTGTGGTTTACTGCTGATCTGGAGCTGAATTTTGTTTAATTTAGTTGTTAATTGACGTTGTGGCTTAATCCTTGATTTTTACAAGCAAAGATCCAATCATACTTCTCTTTGTTTGGTTCATTTCATTATATAAGCCTTTGTTTCATTTGTTGGAATGGACTGAGCTGTTTCAGTTATCAGGGGTGCAATAGTTTCATACTTTGATGGTGATGGTCTGATGGTGATGATCTTCGAAATTTATATGACAGCACATTACATTTTGAGTACTCCGTATTTCAGATGTACTGGATTTTTTTATTAATCGATTGTTGACCAGAAGTGATTAGCTATGATGTGTTGCTTTCTCTGCTTATAAAGTAACATAAACCTTGTAGAAAAGTCAAAGCCTCACCTCTTTTCCATGAGTACCTGCATACTATCTGGATTTTACAAATCAAAATATGGTTGAAATCGTGGAATGCGTTTTAGTTTTTTCTTTGGTTGTGTATCAAAGGATTTGGGTCTGCATCTCAGCACTTTTAAATGGTTGAATGCAGATTGGCATTCTTGTTTTTAATTCAAATTTGTGGCTTTGCAGTTTTGCTTGTGCGTGTATATCTTCTTTAGGCATCATTTTGGATTTCTTTTTTGGATAGGGTGTGAGGGAACTCTGGTGAGGGAAATAGGATGTTCTTTTCAATTGTAGCTAAGGGTCTTATATGTTGCTCTCATTGTTGCTTTAAGAAGGGAGGCCCTTTTGCAAAGTCAATGTCTAGTACTTCTTGGCAATCCAGGGTTGCAATGTGGGTATAAGCTAAGGATATCTAATTGTACCTTGCATTTAAGGTTTCCATTTTTAATAACTGGAAAGAGGAAACCCTCAAGTTGAAAATTGAATATGTATAGTAGAGATCCTGTATTTTTTATCGATCACTTGGTGCTCATACTTCCTAAGAAGTCTCTACATGTATTAGAAAGCATGTCTACACATGTTGGTATTTGTTTGTGAATATTCCAATATCTGAATTTATCTGGACTCAATAAACTCTTTCTTATTAAGAGGGATAAAATTTTATTGAACTGAAAGAATGAACAAATTGTGGTAACAGGGAGAGCCAAGCTTCCATTTGTTTGGATTTCTCATGTGCATAGGGGCGACTGCTGCTAGAGCTTTCAAGTCTGTTCTCCAAGGTGTTCTTCTTTCTTCAGAAGGGTAAATACTTTCTTATCGATCTTCTATAGTTTCATTCTGTTAAAACTGTGTATGTAGAAAAATTACAGATACAACCACAGCTCCATTGAGAAAGAGAAGGTTTTGGATCGATTTACAATTGTAACCGCTTACATTGACGTGTTAGTATGGATCGTTAGCCAAAATAGTTTGTTGCAATGAGATCATTATTATTATTTTTTCTTGAAAATGGTTGCAATTCTCTACTTTGTGTGTACATCTTCCATTTTCAGATTATCTGTGTTGCTATAATCTTCTGCTGTCTTTCCTTCAGTTTTTGGTTTCAGATATTTTAGGCCTAATTCTATGGACATATGTGAACTTGGGGTCTGGGTGCTTAACTTGTAACATTGCAGTTTCCACCATTCGAGATGTCTTTTTTCTTTTCTTTTCTTTTCTTTTCTTTTGGTAAATAATAAACAAGAAATATGTTTTTAGCTTCTCCACTTAGGAACGTGCTGAACAGGGATCTTTAGGGAATCAAATACTGGATGCCATGAGTCAATATGAAAAGGTTGGTTGATGTGCTTGTATGTGTTTGTTGAGACACTCTTTGTTGTATCCAACTAGGACAATTTGACAAAAGTTTACTCATTGGTGTCATGCTCCTATTTTACTTCCCATTCTCTTCAGCGGTTGACTCTCGGGTTGGCTAAGCTTCTTAAAAACACTTGGAACCAAAAAACTTTTAGAAGTCTCATAGAATGATTGCTAACTATTCTTATATGTTATTAAGCTTAATTCCACACAATCTTTCTTATGAACTATGAACCTTCAAAGTCTTTTTTATCTGCTAAGCTCCTGCTTCTTCAAGTCATAAGCTGAGAAAACTTGATCCCCCGAGTCTTTTGGTATTTCAACAAGGTATTTAGGTTTGTAGTTACTACATCTGTGGGGAGGTAACAGGGAGATGTTTCAATCTGAATTACACTATCCAGCTTCTGATTTTTGCTGTATGCTATTGTAATTATCTTGTCCTCTCTGTTACAGGGAGAAGTTGAACTCCATGAATTTGCTGCTTTACATGTCCCCAGTTGCTGTTATTGTTTTGTTGCCTGCAGCTCTTGTAATGGAGCCAGATGTGTTGGATGTTACAATAACACTTGGGATGAATCATAGGTATATGGTTGTACTTCTTTTACTGAATGCGGCAACTGCCTATGGAGCCAATTTGTGCAACTTTTTGGTTACCAAGCATACAAGTGCATTGACTCTCCAGGTTAGTAAAGGCTCGTTGGAATTTTCTGTCTTTTTACCAGTACTATTATTGATTTTGTTTACCCTTGTAAAGAAATTTTCTGTAGAGCTGAACATACGTCTGCTGAGTACTTAGTTTGTACTTCGTAGCAGTGAAGTTTGTTCCATAAAGTAGTTGGAACAGCTTTAAATTTGTGCTTTTTCCAGCTTATTATACATTTTGCTTCTGTCTTTGGATCCAAGTTTTCCCTGGAGTCTTGTTATTTTTCAAAGAGTGGGACTGAACAAAGGCCTTAGTCAGTGCCTGCCGATGGATTATATGATAGAGTATTGAACGCAACTAAAATAGTTCAAGATACATAGAAATGCCACCTAAGAAAAGAATTGCTCTAAGATGAAGCTGATAAAGGAGGCATGAAAGCCAGTATACAAAGACAATACCATTTAAGTTATGGACTGGGTTCACTTGAGTTAGAGATACAGTTCCTGTGTTGGCATGATAATTCTACCACTCGCAGCATCTATGAAAATTCATTCTAGAGTCATAATATCTTGCTAGTGATTGCCTTAAAAAGTAACTCTGGTTTTATACGTGATTGCATTTAACAAGATAATTGTACACAAGTATCATGAAGTAAGCTATTATATTCCCCATTTGTCATGTACACATATGGCTCCAGATCTTGAACCTAAAGACACTATTCATGGACATTCAGCTTTCCTGAATCTATTAACACCATTTTGAACATCTCCAGGTTCTAGGCAATGCAAAGGGCGCTGTGGCGGTTGTTATCTCAATTCTTATTTTCCGAAATCCTGTTACCTTTACCGGAATTGCCGGCTACACGATGACTGTTATGGGGGTTGTTGCCTATGGAGAAGCAAAGCGTAGATACAAATGATTTTCCAGCTTCATTGTGTCAAGCTCCATACTTTAGGTCGTTTAGAGGAATTTCCAGAAGTAGGCACATTCTTCTCTGAGTTTTTGGGGAGGGAGGCAAGGAGAGAATCATCTGATAGTCCTATTTTTTACGCATAAAATTTGTTAGTTGATGTACCATACACTCAGCAATTAACTAATGAAACTTTTAACATATTGATGTTCTTCCTAAGCTCTTTCTCTGCGCATTAACTGTCTTCAAGTGGCTACTCTATTCGAATTCGAAGGGATTGATCTGGTAATTTTGAATTGTTAAATCATATCATTGATGGGAATAGTGTTAGAATTCTACCAGTTGGTCTGGTTTTCATTATTATCGGCAAAAATGAGTAGCTTTCCCTATGAACTTCCGCAAATAAATGAAATGAAGTTAGTCATTGATAGATAATCAACATGAAAACACGCCATTCTCACTACATTCATTGTGATTTTTCATACTCTTTAAGTGTAAATACATTGTTGAGTCAAAATCAAAGCAATTTACCTTATGAAATCAATATCAAGAAGTAAACTTTGCAACATTTAGAATTTATCAATAATAATGTATCAAACACTAGGAAATTTCATAGACTGCAAAATGACCAAAGCAGAAGGAAAAATCAAAGTCGGTATGTAATGTAGCTAATAACCAACATTCCAATCATACTTTCATAATATTCGGTTTGGATTTGAACCTTGCTCCAGTATGGACTGTACCACCAACTACTTGGCACCCAAAGCTTCATCTTCATCCCAATATTTTCATGAAAAGCATACAAGCATCTAGCTCTGCGTCCCGTTCACCACATTTTTCTGTTATTTTGATTTTCCACAACTGCATTTAGTGCTTAGGCTCCAACAGAGGCAGACATGACTACATTGAAAAGTGCATCCACAAAAATCTGCCAATAACTGGTGATCTCTCCTTATTGGTTGAATTAGCAAACGGGGAAAAAGTGTAATATTTCCAATTTTTGGCAGGGAGGTGCTTGAGCATAATAGGGTTTTTAAGAACTTGCCATAGCTAAAGAAAGAAGTTAGGATGTTAAATCCACCTGTTCTGTACTATGCACATTTAACCTACGTATCCTGAAAGAAAAAGGGATTCAAAAAAGAAGTGTTGCAGCAACTGGTAAATGTTTTATGCTATTTATCAAGGAACTCATCATGTACTTGCGGAGCATATGGTGTTCACCTCTTCGTAACGCGCAAACATGGCATGGCCTTCTTTCTGTTCATACTTGGTCAGGACCGCTTGGGAGAAGGTCATAACCATCATGTTGCTTCATTTCCCCTCCAACAGGGATGCATTTAAGAACTACTGCAATGGGCAAACTTACCACGGCAATACCGATGCTTAGTAGCCATAGCTCCCAACTTAATGGAACAGTGCTGGCAAAAGTGCCTAGGAATTCAACTATAATAACTTGGAACCCCACCGTTGCAACAATTATGCCAAGGAAAATCCAGTTACTAAACATGCCTCGGAAAACATTAATCTTCTCCATATCCCGGCTGTTTATTTCGTTAAAGACCTAAGAATCGAGCCAGAAAAAAAAAAAGAGTTTGTTAGAGATTCCTCAAAAGAATTCTTCTAGATACAATTCCCTGGAGAGAAACAATCTCTCCTCGCACTAATAGATGCATACATACATGGGCAACTTAATCTTGAAGTGTAAGCATTACCTGGCAAAACACAAAGGTATTGAAGATAAAAGTATTGAGTGTTACGGTAGCATCTGAACCCTCAAGTTCCAAGAGTTGTTTTCCAGCAAAGTTGAACACAAGTAGGACTGCAAGCTGATAAATGCTCTGACCAATGACATTTCTCCACATGGTTTTAGTAATGAAACCTACATTCCTCCCAATTGGAGGCCTCTCCATTAGTCCTTCATGGGGTGGTTCTGTAGCTAGTGCTAATGCACCTAACGTATCCATGATCAGATTGACCCAGAGCAGTTGAACGGCTGTAAGAGGAGCAGAACCTGATACATAGAGGAAACAAACATCAACAAAATCAATATGATAAACTAAAAATAAAAAATTAGCAAGTGCATTTGATTTCACAGAGATCATCTGAAACAGAGATAGAGATAAACTTGCCTGAGACACAAGCAGATACGAAATTAATAATGAGAGCAACGATGTTGACTGTTAACTGGAACTGAACAAACTTCTGAATATTGATATAGACAGAACGTCCCCATTTAGCTACATTTACGATTGTTGCAAAATTGTCATCCATCACAATCACATCGGCACTTTCTTTTGCAACCTGATGAAGTAGTAAGCAAACAGGTTGTAATGAAAAGTAAGAAACAAGATGGTAATGCACATTAGGAGGAAAGTTACATGATTTGATTGATGGCATCTCATATGCATCCAATGCAAAACTATTAAAGTTAGGCATTTAAGGAAATTTCAGAAAGGTAATTATGCCTGTGTTGTCTTTCCCCCATAGACAGTGGGAAGACACCATGTCCAGAAACTTAATGCATGAATTCTTACTGAACTGACGACTTCACAACACCCCAGAAAAAGAGTATTCACATACCTCAGTTCCTGCTATACCCATAGCAAGACCAATATCAGCCTCATGCAAAGCTGGGGCATCATTAGTCCCATCACCAGTAACTGCAATAACATCTTTGAACATGCCTCTTAAGTTCTTAACAAGCACGTGTTTGTCTGTCGGAGAAGACCGGGCCATAACCTGTATATTGTATAAATCAGTGTAAAAAATCATTATGATGAGGCAGTAGTATCACTAACGGTTATAGGCACTCACCTGAATTCTTGGAATTATCTGCCGCATTTCATCAGGAGTTTTGCGGCGGAAATCTGGACCTTCAATGGCAATACCATCATCGGTAAGTATGCCACATTCTCTAGCAATTGCCTTAGCCGTGTTAATATTATCACCAGTCACCATTCGCACTATGATTCCTGCTCTCAAACATGTTTTCACTGCCTCCTTGACCCCTGGGCGGACTGGATCCTTAATTCCTACAATTGCAATTAATGTATAGCCAGTCTCAGGGATGCTACCGCCAGTGGAGCCATCGCTAGTGTCCTTGTAGGCCAAGCAGAGAGTCCGCAAAGCTTCATTGGCAAACGTATCTATGACATTCATGGCAGCTGTTTCATGTTCTTTAGACAAATTAACTGATTCACCAGTACCATCCAGAACTCTGTTGCACATTTTTAGTATTATTTCAGATGCACCTTTGACAAAAGCTCGTTTTTGACCATCTGGAAGAGCCACAAGTACTGACATCTTCTTCTTTTCAGAGTTAAAAGGTTCAACTTTCTCAATTTTGGGACCTTGGCGTTGATCATCGAAATCACCACCCAATAGCAATCCATATTCTAACAATGCTGATTCTGTCGGTGTCCCCAAGATAGAAGTCTTTCCATTTTTGTCTTTAACTACATCTGAACCTGTGTTAAGAAAAATTCCCTGCAGGAGAATACTGAATGCACTCTCAGATAATTCTGACTTCATAACATCTTTGTGCCCATCAGATTCTACCTCTTTGGCATTATCCAGGGTCCAGATTTTATTGACTACCATATGGTTGGTAGTCAAAGTTCCAGTTTTATCCGTACAAATGCCAGTTGCAGAACCCATGGTCTCACATGCAGAAAGATGCCTCACCAGTGCCTTGTCGTCCATTAGTTTCCTCATTGCAAATGCCAGACTCAGTGTCACGGCCAGGGGTAATCCTTCAGGAACTGCAACAACGATGATAGTTACTGCTGTTGCAAAGTAATTTAGAAGTGTCATTGCATCATCAGATGACCATTTATTGAATTCATGATTAATTGCCTTGGTCACCAGAAATCTGCTTAGTAATACCACAAAGGTCAACACAGAAAACCCGAGACCTATTTTACCAATTATTGTAGCCACACCATTCAATTTCACCTGCAGTGGGGTCTCATCTTCTCCGCCTTCACTAAGAGTTTCCATCAACTTTCCCCATTCAGTTCTCATGCCAACAGTTGTTACAAGCATCTTACCAGACCCATCCTGCACTTTGGTTCCAGCTAGAAGGAAAGGTTTTTTTCCATCAATACTTACAGGTACACTCTCACCAGACAGGCTTGACTGATCAATCAACAAGCTGTATCCTGATACAAAAATTCCATCAGCAGGTACTTGGTCTCCAATGGACAGATGAACAACGTCCCCAACAACTAAGTCATATATGGAAACCTTCTGCCTACAACCATCTCTAGTAACCTGAATAAAGATCTTTTTCTTCTCTTTATCCAAAGCTTTGAATTGCAATGATTGCTTGTAATCACTGATGGCTGTCACAAAAACTACCAAAAAAATACTAAGTATAATCCCCAAACCGTCATACATGCCTTTCGGCCATCCTTCAGTTGCAAGTCCAACACCTATGGAAACTACAGCACAGATAATAAGTATGATGAGTGTTAAGTCTTGTAATGCCTCCCATACAAACATTAGAAAACTTTTAGAAGGCTTCTCAGTGTATGTATTAGGGCCATATATTCTCTGCCTGATAGGAACATCGTTCGATTTGACTCCTTCATCCAATGAGACATTTAACCTTTTTGCAAGTCCTTCAACTCCCATTTTCCTTAATGTCTTGATCTCAAATGAACCAACAACAGATGCAAGTTTGTCAGGGTGAATCTTAAATCCTGCAAGAGTAGCCTCCTCTGAGAGATCCTTTTGGAGGTCTGCTTCTAAATCTGCCGAGATATCCTCTACTTTAGGCTCTTGCACATCTTCCTTCGGCAGTTTTGCCTTGGCATGTTCACCAGCTGCCGAGGATAGGAAAAGAGTTACAATGAGCAAGACTACGAGTAATTTAGAGCTTTGAAAACAAGTAACCGAGGGGAATATTACCATCAATGAACTTGAGTGCTGCCATATAAGCCACAAAACCAATTCTTATCCTTTCCTGGTAAATAGGTACATAGAGAGTATTATTAGGGACTGCTAATAATATTAGAGACCACAGCAACTTGGTGTAAGTTTTAAGATTATTAATTTTGCAGAAGTAGTCAACAGTCTCTTAAGATAGAGAATTTAAAAACAGGAAAGCACTAAGCCCACTCATTTCGTGAAGGCAAAAGAAAGGACCTCCAGTATGAGCACATTTGGAAAAAGAAAGCCAAATGCTCCAACTTACAAGCCAATTACTGAAGATGAGACTCTAAACGGCTACAATCAGTTAGATGAACTGACTCGGTCATTGAGGTATTATCTTCAGTATCATGAAGTGTGTGACAGTTTGAAATCACGCGTAACAGGAATACGCATGGTCTGTGCTCAGACTCTCTGATGTGTTTTCTTTGGTAAACCTAAGATGGTTGTTTTCAATAAGCTTTCTACATTTCCTCCAGTTTTCCTTCCTCTGCAAACTTCACTAATGTTTCCAGACACAATCTTTCAACGCTCAAAGTTGTTGATTCCCTCGTTCAGCGGCGTACTATCTTTAGAGAAATATTTAATTCGACAAAGGAGATCTAGTATGCACCGGGAGAAAAATTCAGGCAGGTATAGTCAAAACGGTCTTTTGTAGTACCCCATTATTATCTTCCCCGTGTGATTGACAAGTTAATTTTCAAGCAACTTGTGCTTCATTTTCTCTCTTTATTATTTTAAAATTTTACTAAGCACATGATGCACTAAAGCTATCAAGAGGCACACAAGGAGAGATTTATTGTAACAGACCGCCAAAAGGGAATAAAATGATGTCACTAGTTTGTTACCACATCCCCCAATAAATGCTAATTTAGGGCTTGCTTGCATCATAGGATTTTACTACACTTGTAGTAAACAGACTTGGTGGAGGACTTGTCAATAATTTTAAATGTGAAGAATGTTATGTATATGAAAAATCAACGAATAATGTGGAATATCAAGTCAAAAGAACAGCAATAAAAAATAGGGTAAACTAAGTTTAAGCAAGGTTGAATCATTTGTACCTAAAAGTTTTTGAATCACTGATTAACATGGTAAGGTCTCAGACATTACCAATGATAAGAATCAAACCCAATAGCGAAACAATCTACCATATATTCAGTTAGCTTTTATTTGTCCTCCAAAATGCTACTAGTGTTTAATTATTAAAGGTGATGTTGCCATTTGGAACTAGTGAAATCCAAATATGGAAACAAAGAAAGAAGTTACTGTTCCCACAAGTAAAAAATTTATTTAGATAAGAAAAATGGAGAAACCCATTGATGTGGCAAGCATACAAACATAAAACTTCTATTTGGAGGATCAGTATAACCATATGATTACGTAGGGAATGCTGAATTTGTTTTTTTGCAATCAGAAGATGATATTAAAGCCGTACGTAGTTTCTGTCCTCCCAGTTTCTCTGTCACGCTTTGTACTTTCCATATGTGAGTTTGTAACTTTGCACACTGAAGGAAAGATTCAAATTGACAGGAAATTTCCAGGAAGTTTCCTTGTGTACCCACAACTTAAAATTGAGGTGACAACCACACTAAAATTCAAGTGCATATATTGAATGAAATATACGTAAACATTAAAAATAGAAGAGATATTTACTGATAAGATAATGATACATCCCACCAAAGACAACCTAACCATCAGTCCAAGCAGGGATAACAACCATATATAACCACTCTGACGAGGACATCTGTTTTGTCTGAATGCAGAAAAAGTTCGCCCACTTACGAGCACCCATGATGGGTCAGACTCCAAAATATAGAAATTCAAAAGCACCAAAGGTCAGCTTAATGTATGAATACAAATTATAAAAATATGCAGAAATCCTATCTTGAAGATGTGACAGGGCACATTTGATCTTTTACATATTATTATAAGTAACTGGAATCTCACTGAAGACATAATTAGCAGAGAAAACGATCAACTTGTTCATCCCAGAGATCGGGGTACAATCAATATGCACTACAGATCGGGGTCCAATTCCTACATGCTTGCACTTTATCAGGAAGAACACAACAATAACATCTAAGCCTTTATCGTAACCTCTCATATATTGGTATAAACATATGGATCACTTATCGTCATTGTCGTCACGGACTTTGATTAAACATTGCCATGTGACGATCAACGCAAGAAAGAAGATAAAATGTTTCTTACTACTTTGGAAGTTCATAATGGTGACAGGGATGTTCAGGAGACAATGGTGGTTAAATAGTGAAAAAGAAAGAAAATGGATTAATCCGTCAACTCTTTGTCATGGCTACACATATTCTCGCAACATCAATGTTAATCATGGCCGGATGGTAAGGGTGCCAACAAATCGAGCTGACATCAAGATCACTTCAAGTTTGAAAAGGCCAAATTCAAAATGAACTCAACCTAACTAGAAATGAAACAGAGGAGCAGAAATCTAAATAAGTAATGGTTCCATGGCATTTCAAGTTATTCTCTTTAAGATGTAGGGTTTTCTTTCTTTTCCTTTTTTTTTTTTTTGGTTCTACATTGTTTTATACACTTAAATTTGATGAATGTGTAATATATGTTGTATTGATTAGATTTTTATTTTTATGTTATTTACAGCCATTCTTGATATGGAGTAATCAATTTTTTAAGTTATATGTGAAAATTCTAGAATATGAAGTCAGGTTTGACTGCATCATGCTGAATTTCAAGCAAAGGCAGTACTTTCACAACTCTTAATTTTTCTTTTTCTTCTAAGGTTCAAAGAGTGTGAGAGTTCCTACAGCCATTTCTATCATTAATACGGTTGTTACATTTCTTCTGCTTTCGTCCTTTCCTATGAAGAGATAATCTTACCTGTTATCCTTAACAGTTACAGAGATATATCCTCTGTTTCCATCACACATGTATGATACCATATCCCATGAATCCGCTAAAACTCAATAAAACCAGCACATCTGTTTAATTTATAATATACCCTCAAAGAAGACAAAGCAAGACCATTTTGTTTTTGTGTGTAAATGACAAGAAAGATGAAGAACATGTGAAGCATGGCAACCCCTTTGGCCCAGCTTCTCCCAACTATAAATTGTCTCCATCTTCAACCACAGTAATTTAGAATTTCTTTTCTTTTATTTAATTCATTGAAATACTAGAGTATTTTCTTTTTCAGACAAATTTTCCTCAGTCCATGCATGTTGTACAGTAAAGGAGGAAAAAAGTCAACTTGGTTTTTTATTCCCATTTTAGAAAGAAGGGCGAAAGATCGGCAGAATTCAAGATCTGAACAACAATAAACTGTTTCAAAAAAAAAAAAAAAAAACAACAATAAACAATATCATGGTCCTTTAAAAGATTGAAACTTCAATGATTAAAGCATATTCCCAGAAAATGCATCCATGGATACATACAATTCCTTGTGTACATTTCCAAGTACAATGGCGCATTATCAAACGCGCTTTGAAGTCAGCAAAACGCGTATTTTTATTAAAACTTTTTTCCCTATAAATAAGAATTCGTCATTGATTCGATCGGGACCGCTAAGATTCAATCCTCACAGTCCAATTTCGCCATCAACTTTGTTAGTATCTACCTATTCTTGATATAGATTCCTTTCTTCGTTCGTTATTGGCCAGCCAAATTAAAAAGGTCATTTCGGAAAAAGGTATTTAACTAAATTGGCCCCTGAATTGTGTTCGATATTCATCCTTTGAGCCCTCCTATTTAATTCAATTGGTGTTTCCCACCCCAGAAATGTGGCAAACAAATTCAGGTGCAATAGCAATTTGACCAGTTAAAAGGTGCGGGGTAACAAAATGAGAATCAAATGACTATCTAGGGGCCTACAGAGTAAAAAAAACCATAATGTAGGAAATATCTTCCTTCTTCAAAGCTTATCGTGATCGGATTTCAAGACGATCACGGATTCGGCCAACTACTTTTTTGTGACCTTTTTGTTAAAGCCAAGTTGTAGAAAATTAAAATTTCAAAAATAATGGCGATCCTGATGGTTTTAGTAACGATAATGATTTCCCCCAAAACTTTTTAATCTTAATAAAAAGAAAAAAATGAGAAATAAAAAAAACACGCACACACATAGTGACAGACAAAAAAAAGGGTGAGTGATCAAGATAACATACTCTGAGCTTCTCCATTTTCTCTTTGGCTTCAGTACGCTTCTCGAAATTGGGGCCATACCGGAACCGGCGCCGTTTGTTTCTGACGAGGGTGACGAGATTTCTCCACCGCTTCTGCGCATCCATCGACGGATTTTTGGCCGAAATTTCGAAATCGGCCAGGTCGCCGATGAGATTCTTCATCGACATTTTGGACAAGGAAGATTAACAATCCACAAATTCCCTTTCCCTTACTACTCTGATCAGCAGAATCAATATGGATAATTGCAAGGATTAGATTAGTAGAAGAACTGAAAAGTGGTGGAAATCTAGGTGAGAGAAAGAGAGAGATGGGAGAAAGAAAGAGCAGAAATGCGTTTCACATCTTCCTTGGAATGGGAAAATGGTAAATTCGAACCTCGCAAAAACATTGAATTTATCAACCTGGCTGGTCTCAAGGCCTAATATTCTCTAAGTAGTCAATTGCAATAAATACAGTTGGAAGTTTCTATAAATTAGTTATGCAACATATGACCATGATTTCTTGACCAAATAGTTCCGTTAATAATCCATAAATCATTAATTACGATTTTCCATCCACAAGAAAATTATTTAATTATTTGAATTATTATTGATTGCCTCATTCAGGAGGTAATCTTCAGCACAGCCACTGTAAATTTTATATACAAAAACAGGAAAGGTAATATTTTTACAAGCGAGAAAAATTTATAGGACCAAAAAAACCAAATATTAATCCTATTGATTGCTTATACTAAAAAGGTGAGTACAAATAAAGCTGCAGTATATTAGATTTTCTCCTCATTGAGAGCAGTACAAAATGAATCATAATGATTTTTATTTGAAAAAAAAAAGTTTACCTTGTAGTATTTTCAAATCCACTTACAAGTTACAAATATAAGAAGTTATAATTGTTTAATAAGGGTAATCCTAATAGAGATAATTTGGTATAATAAGTTTAGTTTATGTAACACACATGGAATTAAATTTCTTTAACTCTAAGTAATTTTTCCTTTTTTTTTTTGTTTAACTTGTTTTTTCCAATAGTAGATAGCAAAATAAAAATCATACTGTCCTATAATTATATAAAACGATTTAGAAACTTGGAGATTGTTCATCTTTCAGAGAATGTTGGCCACGAAAAATATTCCCACTTTTTTCCTTTTTTGATCGGAAAGGGAGAAAAAAATTAGTATATTCCCTGCACTAAAACAGAATATTTACTTTTTGTTGAGTTATTTCAGTTCAAAAGTAAATTATTAAATTTTCAAAACCATTGAAGTTCTGTATAGTATCATATATTTCACAAAAAGCCAGTGATATTGTTAAGGCTATTTTTAGTCACAAGATCAAAACTTGCATTTCTTTTCCAAAAATGCACTATTTTTTTTTCTTTTACGGCTCTCTCCCAAATCTCAAAAAACTGAATAGATTTCTCTCCTGCTTGGCTATTCTTTAAATACTTTTGATCTAAAATGCATTACTGTTGATTTTACTTGACTATAAATGCTTTGATCCAAAACCAATTTCATGGGGGTCTCGTTTGAGAATCAAGACCAGAGCTATACATATAAAGGTGCTCTGCACTAACGAGCTTGCAAACAAATTTAAAATTACCATAAACTGCTTTAATAAAATAATGAGCATCTAAAAAAGTAAAGAATTACTCATTTCTTGTTTTTGCTAATAGAATGACAAGAAATTAAAAATTTTTGTTGCTGTAGAATACCATAAAATAGTTGGGGAAATAATAGAAGCATCCAAGAGGTAAAATCATTGCCCAACGACATTTAGCACACAAATCAACTACAAATAATCTTTATTCATATGGAGTTCTTTTTATAAGGTAGTACCAAGTTCAAACCTGCAACATGAAACCAAAACATAAATTTGATTACCATTTGTAATGAGTTTAGATGAAAGTCAAACACTAAAAGTTAACCAACAACAATGAATATCTGAAACTTGTTTCAATGCCATTGAAACTCATCACATGGAGTAGGTGGGAAATTCAAATCAACAAAATTCATTGGATCTCTATCATCTAGATGTGTTGTTATTTGATCTTCACTCAAATTAATGGTGGCGATTTGGCTTGTCTGATCACTACCTTCTCCACATCTATGAGTTGCTTTCCTCAATCATGCTTCAGCAACTTCAAATTGCGACGGGTCTCTTCTTGTTGAACTGAATCCCTTTTTCTTTTTTTTTTCCTTTAGATGGTCTTCCTCTACCTTGTTGCACGTCTGGCTCAAAATTCAACGGAGACTCCTCTTCGTTAACTAGTTCATGCAATGTTTCTTCAATATGTTTCTTCCCATTGAGAGGCATTTGCATGTATTTTCCTCCAACCTACTAACCAATCCATGGTAGAAAGAATCACCATTATTCGCCTGGCCATCAATAAAAAGGGAATCCCTAGTGTCAATGCGCCATTGGCGGATGTATAGATGCTAAAGGTATTGATTTTCTTATCCAGGAATCATCATGTATGCACAAGGTAATCCCATAGTGGCCGTGAAACTACTACTGCATGTCATACTCATCTTCTGATTTTTTAACATCTCAAATTGTTATCCTAACTTATCCAAGGCAAACAATGACAAACGATACACAACTTGTTCGAAAAAGGGAACATTGCACTTGTGAGGAACTCAATCCTTTCTTGTGCTATCTTTGCTTTAATTTCCTTAAGATTATTTTCAAGAAGAAGAGACATTCTCTGCTTGACCCCCAACAAATCGCCAATAGAGACGAATAAGTATCCTTTCAATTTTGAGTGTGCACCTTCTGCTCGTGATGAAGAACGGGTTCCAAAATGGAATTTTCTATCTGTCCATGCACTAACAAAATGTTCCTTTTATGGAATCCATGTATCCCGAAGATAATTCAGAATATTTTCCTTTCCCTTGAATACCAGCTCCATCTCATGCCATGCTTGATTGAAAAGCTCCTCTGTAGAAGAGTACACAACCCTTTTTCATGCTGCCAAAAATCTTCCCAATCTTCTGTTTTTTCAAAATGAGATTTACTTTTGGCAAGAATATTCTTTTCAATATGCCAAACACATAACATATTTGAAGCAGTAGGGAAAACCTCTTTAATAGCTTTCATCAGTGCTAATTCTCTATCAGTTGCTATAACAGAAGGGCAAATTCTGTCACTGAGCATTTTATCAAAAGCATGTAACACCCATTCATAATCTCCCTCCCCTTCTCCTCTTAAAAATGCAAAGCATGAATAAAATGACGTGTTAAAACTAGTCATACCAATAATCTCAAGTAATGGTATTTTATAACGGTTGGTCTTGTATGTGCAATCTATGACAAAAACAGTTGAATAACTTCTACTCAATGTAATAAACTCAGGATGTGCAAAAAAAAAAAAAACGAGTTAAACTATCTTTCCCGTCATGCTTATAGTCAAACAGATATCCAGCCTCACCAAATTCTTCAAATATGACTTGAATGATAGAACGCCCTTGAAGGTTTTCCATTGCAATTTTTCTTTTCCTATTGTAAACATCTCGAGAAACAATCCGAGAATCAGGATTATTTTTCTGAATCAATGCGATTATTTTGCGAGGTGGAACTCCAACTGTAGTCATATTGGTTACATCCAAGATCTCTTTTTCTGACAACACTCGCTCGGATGGGTTCCCAGAGATATCTTTAGAAGCTTCATGATTATATGAATCACATTTGATGAATATTTTCCAAAAACCTTCTAGTTGCATCTTACCTACTATTTGAAAAGGACAGTTAGTAAGGCGGGTGGAAGTTCTCCTTTTTCTCTCTTCAATAGGGGTATTTACTCTATCCCGATAAAATCCTCTTCTATCACATCTGATGACAACATATTTATTTGCTCTTGAACTTTTGATTGATAAGCTATATCCCTGAATTGAGTAAAATTCTTCCGCCGCTTTTATGAGATCCTCGCGAGAACTGTACACGGTAGCAAGTAGGTTAGTTGTGTCCACTGCCATCGCATTCTTTTGAATGATGGTAGGAGCTGATATGAATAATCCATTCTCTTCAACGTTATGATGCGCCATAAGCTCTCAACCGGAGCTGTACAAAAAACAAAAGAATGAAAGCTATTGATCATATGCAAGTGATAATATTAATCAACCTTGTGCATTGCCTTGAATTTGACCAAACACACACATCAATCTTTTTGATTTTTTATAATCACATCACCACACTGACTCTAGTTACTGTATTTAACAAATCAACAACTAGGTGAATAAATAGATAATTTAGGAGTAGTGATAACAAGCTGCACTACAGCAGATTGAATAATAAAAGAAAGTCTTATTTTCCTCTCCATCAATATCAAACTAATTTAATTCCAATCAATCATTTACATAATGAGAGTACCCAATGTTATGATTAAAAATTACCGTACAATGATAATCAATAAATTAGGGGAAGAATATATCATATACCATAAAAAAAAGCCCCTTCAATCACACAAATATAGAAATAATTAATTGATCCTTAAGGGGGACTAGCCTTTCTCTAAAAAACAAAGCATAAAATACGACAATGTGTAGATTAAATTCAAGAACCAATCCATAAAAATCACATGAATATTAGTAGACTCATTCGGTTATTTTTTTTTCTTTATCTCAATAATCGAATGCAAATTTACTCATAAAACAAAGTCAGAAAATAAACCAACATCAACGCATTAAAGAGCTTACTTGGTATAATTGCAGAATGAACAACACAAAGAACAAGAAACTTTTCTACTTAGGGCTTTTTGTTCATGTCCATAAGCTTTTCCTTTGTTTAAAGTGATGATAAATTGGAAATACCCAATATAGATGAAGATACTGATTGTAAACTATAATTACTGACATTTCACCCCTTAATTTTATTTTTTTGGAGGGAGATTGCTGAAAAGTTTTGGAGGAAAATTGATACGGAGAGGATTTAGGCGGGCAATTGCAGAAAGTTCAGCGGAGTCGGAGATTAACGAGAGAGAGCCGTCAAATGGAGAAAAAAATTAAAATAGTGGGTTGACTTTATAAGAGTATTTTCGAAAAGAAACACAAGTTTTGATCTGGAGGCTAAAAATAGCCTGACAATATCACTGAATTACACAAAATATAATAGTTAATTTAGATTGATAATCTCAATGTGAATTAACTTTCGGATTTGCTTATAATATATTTTATTACCTTAAAACATATTTTCAAATTTAGATTCATCATGTAGTGTTTCACGAGGTAAGAGCGAAATTTCGACGTTATGGATCAAAATCCCACCAGTTTACGCCGTGGTGGCAACCGGCGCCAACAACAATACAAGTTGAATTTTTCAAATTTTTCCAATCAAGAATGTTAACACATTCAGTTTTCAAATTTATACTATTTTTAATATAAATAAATTTTAAAACACAAAACGAAACAAATATAGACGAAAGAAGTTTCAAATTTGAGTTGCAGACTCTAATTAATCTAAATGATACCGCAGGAGCTAGGCTGCCGGGTTGATTGATTGTTTATGATTTATTGAACTAACTTTACGGTTCTCTTAATTAAATCCATTGAATAATTCAAAAACATCTTGATTAGTTGGTGAAATAAAATGAAAAATAAAGCTTCTTCAATTCATTTTATAATTGTCCAACAAACCTTTCAATGTTTTCTTCTCTTAAATTTTGATGACAAACTTTTGATTGATATGCAGATGGGACCAATCGATTCTGAACTTAATGGGCAAGTGACCAAGTCTCACCTAATGTGAAATTAATTAAATCTTTTAAGAGTTAACATTGCGAGCGAGGAAAAAGATTGGAATGATTTTTAAATGATATGAATTCTCTCAAGTGAAAAATGATAAATAAACTGAACACAAAGGGCAGCTGCACGCC